ATATATATATATATATATATATATATATATATATATATATTTTATTATGTATATACATAATATATACATAATATATATACCATAAATATATCATAAACAGGTTAAGGTAAATATATCATAAACAAATAAAATAAAGACTTACACAATGTTATAAAAATTAAAAAATATATAAAATATAAATATTAATGAATGTTGTCATAAAAATTAATTCCTAACCTTTAATATTGTATTCAATGATTAAAATGTACAAATTACATGAATTGTGTAGAAAATGCTTGGTTGCTGCGTGCCTAATTGTGTTAATTCTATGAAAAATAAAAATAAAAATAAAAATTAAAAATAAGGTTTTTAGTAATAAAACTATGGTTAGGCATGTTATTATTAATTAATATTTATTTTTTAAATTGTACTCTTTATATTTTTATATATAAAGACTATTATGATATAAACTGTTGAAAACAGGTTGGGTTGCCATATTAAAATTTTCAAAACTAGGACTTACAAGCCAAAAATCCTGGACATTTCGGTTGCAACCTCGAACGTATATAAAAATGCGCTTAAATTAATAAAATTGATTAGAACAGTAAATGAATCATTATTTCACGTCTAATTGTTCGTTAGTATTTAGAGCAAAGAGAAATTTGAACTGGAAAATAAATAAATATAGACTATCTTGATTAAAAATAAGTTTTATTAGGTATTAAAATTAAAAAAATTTTAACTTTTTTATATGATACCTATGCTATTTGGTAATGCGAGAGGAATCAAAACAAAATATTTAGAAGCTTTTCTGAAACCCCGGACACTTATAATTATCCCGGACGCTTTCAAAGAATCCCCCCGGACATCCCCGAAAAAAAGAACAGTGTTCGGGGAAAAGAGAATGGCAATCCTAACTATAGGGACTCTAATTTAATAGTCTGAAAAATTTTTGATTAATCGATTTTTATTATCTTTCTCTGCTATTTACAATACACGCACTTAAATCACATTTTTATTATATATAATATTTTAATGCTCATTTTCTGGCCTGTATGATTCTACCAAGAGCCTCGCCATTTTATAAGGAGTAACAGTAATAGTAATATTTTAACGGTGTCTCCTGTGAGCCGTGTGTGTAGATCGAGCGTGTTTTATCTCCACGGAAATTTTTGTATTACATCATCACGCATTTTTGATTGTCGCTCATATAGTTTTTTTCGGTTTACGCTCATACAATTTTCGTTTTTTCTCGAATTATATTCGTTTTGACTCATGGTCTATAAGCGATATTGGTGCCGCTTGGAAGTCACGGCCAAGAAATTAAAAAATAGTAGTAATAATATAATATTTTAACGTTCGCTTAAACAGCTCAAGTTTTTCACATTGTTTGACCTTGGCTGGCAGTGCGTTATACATTTTCATTCCTTTATACATCCTTTAAACATACTCTTTTGAAGAGAAACTCCTTATTCTGCGAAATTTTATCGCAATATCCCTAGTTTATCGCGTTTGTCTTTCATTCTCATTTCTTACAAATTCCTCTCATTTCTTACAAATGATCTCTTAATTGTTCCGGTAGCATATTATTTAAAATTTTAAAAATAAATGTACATTATAATATAATCTCTATGTGTATAAACTACGCGCTTATCGCATTCCACTTTGGTATGTCTATCACATTGCAATATGACTTTTATGGTCCCATTTCGTTGCGCTTTTTGCAATTCACTCAGCTGTGTTTCTTCCACGTTACTTAACAGTTTCACATAATATTCAAAATGAAGTGCTATATATTATAATACATTTAGTATATGCCGATGTAAAATTATCTATTTTATTTAGAAAACTCGTCTTTTTTTAGTATATAAACACAGTCTTTAAATCGAAGTTTATCATCAATAATTATGCCTAAATACTTTATACATTAATTATTTTCTACATATTCTATCTCAGTTCCATCCAGATATTTCAATGTAATATTTTTTTTCGGTTCTTTCCTCATACTTTTAACTATCATATATTTTGTTTTCCCTGCATTTATTTTTAACTTATTTATATTCAT